AAGACCTTTTCACACATTAATTCATTTAATCCTTGTACAACTTTATGAAGTAGGTACAATTATTAGCTCCATTTTACATCAGAGAAGATTGAGACAAAGAAAGATAAAGTGATAGAGCCGGGATTCCAATCAGGCAGGCAGTTACTAGAGCCCAGGTTCCCGAATACTGTGGAACTGCCTGAGTGCCCTTCCCTCTTCTTATCGCACCCCTCCCCCAGCACACATACCCCTCCCGGAGAGCCTGGCTTAGTCATCAATTCTGCAGGAGGTTCACCTGGATTCCTCACCCCAGCCACAGAGATCTCTGGGTTACTTTCATACGTTGTACACAGCACATGTATTATTTCACTCATTGCACTGAATATAAATGTTTGTGTGTGTTTCCCCCGCCAGACCCAGTCTTAGTCCTCTTTGTATCCATATCTGGCACTTGTGTAGGGTTTGGCACAGAGCAGATGTTCAACAATGCAACTTGAATTGAGTTGGTTTGACCGCCGCACACTCAGTGCTTGTCCTCAAAGAGTTTTTGGTCTACCTGGAAAGGAAGGCCCATCCACATGCAACAACTGAATAAGGAGGAAGTGAACGCTAAAAGAATATGGTATAGGCAGTAGTTGCTGTGAGATTTCTAAGAAGGGAGATTGGCTTGAGGGATTGGGTTGGATTGGGTAGAGACATCGTCTCCAAATACATACAAGCTGAGATGAGAATAGCTTATCATCAAGAGAAGAGGAAGGACATTGACCAGAATGTTGACCTCAGGTGGCTAAGACTGAAGTGCTCACATTTAAGGGGGTAGCAGAGCTGCATCAAGAAATATAGGTTGAAAGGCCCTTCTTTCTGACACAGTCCAGATATCAGCTCTTCAAAGAGGCCAATACCGTCCTTTTCTGGGAGAGTTTTCCATAGTATCTTGTGAATGCAGAGCCCTTACCAGACTATATGCATTATATGACCAAGCCAGGCTCTCCGGAGAGGTGTGATGAGAAGAGGGAAGGACAGCAGAGCAGTGAGGATCACCGTAATCTAGAACATGGGCTCTAACACAGCTTGCCCATCCCTCCTATGTGGCTGAGCTCCCTGAAGGCAAGGACTGTTTTTGCCAATACCAGACAGAGTGCCTCGAGCACATAGTAGTTGTAAAAATAATAATAATAGCAATAACAATTTTATCAGTATATAACATAGATTCTAATAAAAACTCAGTCTGTTCTTGATCATTTTTGTTGAACCTTGATTTCTGGAATGATGCCGTCCTTTGAAGACTGTATCATCTAGGAAATCTTTAGTCTGTAGGCCCTCTCTGTACATGATCTGCATCTTAATTCTGCAGAGCCATTCACACACAGCAGAGTCCTGGGTGCCAGAGTATTGGAAACCGGATGCAGTTCCCTCAGTGGCAACTTGGCCCAACCAAACAGCTAGCATTCAGGACAGGCTGGGACACCAATGTCAGGAAGAAACCATGATGCAAAGCTGGACACCCAGCAGTACCATAGAGAGACCTCAAAGCTCTCTCCCCCTGTTCCCCCCCCCCTCCGCCACACACATACACATACACACACAGCTGTAATTCTTTTCCCACTCGGAGTGTGAGATATGTCCAGGTTGACAGGTGGGTCCACCAGGAGGCCCAACAGTAGGTTACTGGAATTGGCGTAGACACATATGCAGATACTATAACTAGAGAGTTTCAAACTTGGAATCCATGTTCTTTTGAACATCAGGGAGGCCCCCAGACCTTCCATGTACAGCTCAGCCTCTCCAAACAGGCTGTCCTAGAATAGTGCCAGCCACATGGTCTGGACAGCCCGGGAAGCATCTCAAGCAGGCAAAAAATATTTGTAAAGTATTTTCTTCAGATGCTGCTAACTCTCAGAGAAAGGTGCTTTTAGAGAAATGTCCGGGCTTCATTGAAAAAGCACATAGCCATCAACTTGTGTTCCTCGCTGGCATGAAACTGTCTAACTGGAGGCCAAACTCAGGATGCCTGAAGACAGACAAGTGACTAACCCGAGGCTGTGTGTGGCCAAGACCCAGTGTATTTTCTGACCACAAGACCATGTCTGGAGTCTCCTTTGTAATTACCACACGGCCCACTGTAATTGTAAGCCTTACATTTACTTCCTGCCTTTGACATGTAATTCAGGGTCCAAGGCTGCACCCCAAGCTAGGGTTAAATCCTCTGTCATTTGCCTAAAACCTGTAAGATCATTGTTGTGTGAGGGTGTGTGTGTTTGTGGTTACCACATCTGTCAAATATGTTAAGTATATCCTTGTGAAAAATATGCCCACTCCTGCCTTGTGAGATAAAGCCCTTTACTAAATCAGATGTTTACCGAACACCTATTACTATATGCCAGGGATATTTTAGACTCTAGGAAACATCAGTGAACAAGCCAACAAAGACCCCAGAGGGAGACCAAGGGAGGGGAGGGGAAAAGGGAAGAAGACAGACCAGAACATAACTCACAGCCTGGCCAGTGTGGCTCAGTGTTGAGCATGGACCTATGAACCAGGAGGTCAAGGTTTGATTCCCAGTCAGGGCACATGCCTGAGTTGCAGGCTCAACCCCCAGTGTGGGGTGTGCAGGAGGCAACGGATCAGTGATTCTCTGTTATTATTGATATTTCTATCTCTCTCCCTCTCTGAAATCAATAAAAGTTACTTACAAAATGAAAAGAACAAGTCACAGATGAGTGCTATGGGTAGTGTCACAAGGGATGTCACGGGGAATGCCTAGGTGGCTTCTTTAGCTTGGGCGCCAGAGAAGCCTCTCCCAGAGGTTACGTTGTGTGGGCCGGTGAGAGAGGGAGATGGTGGAGAGGCGGGCTGCGTGGCCACTGTGAAGGGTGTGCACGGAGGCTAGCCAGAAGGCTCCTGCACGGTCCCGGCAGGAGGCTGCAGTAGTTCATTCTAAGGAGTGGGAATCAAGAGAAGGGTCTAGATCCGGATTACGGAATGTAGCTTAGAAACAGTCCACAGAACTTGCTGCTCTTTTGGATGAGAGGAATGAAGGAAAAGGAATAATCAAGAATAATTCCAGCCGAAACCTGTTTGGCTCAGTGGATAGAGCGTCGGTCTGCGGGCTGAAAGGTCCCAGGTTCGATTCCAGTCAAGGGCATGTACATTGGTTGTGGCACATCCCCAGTAGGGAGTGTGCAAGAGGCAGCTGGTCGATGTTTCTCTCTCATCGATGTTTTTAACTCTATCCTCTCCCTTCCTCTCTGTAAAAAAATCAATAAAATATATATATATATATTAAAAAAATAATAATAATTCCAAAGGTTTGGGTTTGAGCCATGAGGAAGATGATGACTGAGATGAGAAAGGCCGAAGGCAGTCCTTTTTAGCTCCTCACATTAACAGTCATAACTGACTCACCGTGAACCTACATCTCAGGATCCAATAAACGCCCTCTCTGTCCTCCCCCTAGTGCACGTCACTGGGGAATGTTCATAGCATTTGGAATCTGCTTCAAGCATTCCCATGGTTTCCCCTGTAGTGCTCACTTTATGGCATGAAATGAATCACAGGAAAGCCACTGGCATCCCTCAGGGTCCTCTGTAAATGCCAGCTCCTGCCCAGGCCTCCCTCCTCGGCACTCGCTGGGGGCTGGGGTTTAGGCTTGGATGGAAGGGTGCATCCGGGCTCTGCCCCAGCTCAGAAGTTGGCAGCTGGCACAGGCCATCAACATGCCTGTAACATGTTTGTGGCAAACAACAGGACCAATTTTCTTGGTTTTCTCTTTGTAGTCAGAAAAAAAGTTTGAGGTCTTTTTTAATAACAAACTCACAACTTGGGGAATGGGGGGAACGGGACAAGAAGATAGAGCCAGACTGCTTGATTAAATCCCTTTCTGATTTGACCTATATTTTCCCCTCCAATTTCCTTTTCCAGGGCTTATCAAAAAGTTGTGTCTTTGGTCCAGCTAAACTCGTGTCAGTGACATTTGTCGCCAGATGTGACCTTTTGTTAGCACATTGTAGAATCCCCGGCATCAATATCACTTTCTATAAATACAGGTTTCAGGTGAGGGAATGTTCTCTCTGGAGAGAAGTTTAGCTTCGGAGAACCTTTCTCCTTTTAGTCTCCTGCTCTGTGGGCTCTTACTCACCGCTGGCATTCTTCCTCGGCTTACGCTGTCAGCCCTCCTCCTTCCGTGATCACTCATGTTGGTAGCCACCTACGGTGCCAGTTCCCCACTCGGCCTCCCTCGTGGTTGGCAGTGCCTTTGACTTGTGCTCTCTGGCTTCCTCTACGTTTTGAAATTTAAAAATAGAAAATAAGAAACAAACCCACAGTCGTTCACGCTGGCTGAGCTCTGTAACTCATCTAGCAGACTTTCCGGTGAAATCCACAGTGGAACACAGGCCGTCGGAAACCAGCCCTGGTTCAGAGCAAGCCCTGGGAGGCGTGGACAGGGGACACTCTTACTCAGACGGTCACACACACACTCGGAGATGGGCAGTGGCCACCACACAAGGCGGTTTGGAGAGTCACCGAGAGAATGCTCCGCTCTGCTCCTGACGCCCCTCCTCTCCTGTCTGTCCCCTTTCCTGTCCCTCAGTAACACCTAACAGTCATTGCCATTCAGTGAATGCGGCCTCGTGCCTGGAGCCGTGCAAAGCGCACTCTGTTCTCCATCTCTTCAATTTTGCAACAAAGCTGTCAAGGGGAGCTTTGGGAAAGGCCTGGCTAGCCGAGGCCTCACAGCTGGACATGAGAGAGAGAACAGGTCCTTAGGACACGGAAGCCACACTCCTGGTTACCGGACAGCACGCCTTCACAGAGGAATCCTCTAACTTGAAAAGAGTGATTTGCTGCTCTGTTTCAGTTTCCCCTCAAAAACGAGCAGAAGGGTTAATACGCACCGAAGTGCCCCGCACAGGGGCTGACACCAAATAGACCCTAAGCGACCACTGACCCCTTCCTTCCACGCCTTTCTGCCCTTGTCATGGTGGACCCATAGGCTCAGCCACTTCCTCTTTCTCTTCTAGATGGTCTCCAAGCAGACAGAGAGGCTGATGGACCAGAGGGGGTCGACGAAGATATGATTGTGACCCAGAGTCAGACCAACTTCATCTGCCCCATCACACAGGTACCGTGTCCTCCTCCCCTGAGACCAGGCAGTTCTCTTCCCAGAGGCCAGGAGTCCTGTTGGCTTGCGGACTTGACTTCAAGTCCACGGTGAAGAAGGGAGGAGAGAGGAGTGCTGGGGATAGAAGAGTATACACACAGGAGGTCGGTGGGTGGAAAGACTTTCTTTCCAATCAGTCATACCATTTGGGAGCAAATCACTGGCCCACAGGCTGAGCGGCATTGTCACCACTGGTCTCCCTGCTGTTTCTCCCGTGGCCTCTGTCCTAATTAAGCCTTGACAATGATTGGGAGGTTAAACATAGAAAGGCCAACTAGGAAAAAACAGCGCCACGTAATCAGTGACTGGGAGAAGTTACTGGAAGTTGGTCATTAGCATTCCTGAAAGCCTGCTGTCTCCTTGATTGCAGTTGGAAATGAAGAAGCCAGTGAAAAATAAAGTGTGTGGCCACACCTACGAAGAGGAAGCCATTGTTCGGATGATCGAGTCCAAGCAGAAACGGAAGAAAAAGGCCTGGTGAGTGTGTCCCAGGAGGGAAGCTGGAGCCTTCCCGGGGCTGGGCAGGCAGCGGTGCTGAGGTCACGCCAGGGGACAAGGTGCTCACCGCACCCCTGGGGGCTGGCTTTCTGGGAAAACAATGTGGGAGGAAAAGGGAAGAGCCAGGAACGCCAACCACGCGTTTCTAAAGCAGGAGAGAAAGGAGCTGGATTGGATTGTCATCATTAGGTAACAGGAGTTTTTATGAATTTGTGCCATAACCTGAAGGAAAAAAAAAATGAAAGAACTGTGATACTAAGAGAAAGACAAAAAATCTTTCATAGCTTACATTACTTCAGTAACTTGCCCAAAGGTGTGAGTAAACGTGTGGGTAAGTGGTCACTGAGAAATTATCATTACTTTTAAATTGGAATGTCTGAAGAATCTTTCATATGGATATTTCTACCTCCTCCTCAAACGCACCCACCCCCTCACCTCCCGTGACCACAGAGCACACAGCGGGGCTCCGGAGTCACCTAAGCTGGCGAGGCCGACTCTGTGAGGTGCGACACTCTTATCGCAGACGGAATTATCGCTCGGAATGGAATGGCAGGTGTGCCCAGCTCTCAGTGGACTTGTGATAACAGCCCTTTGATGTGGGCTTTGCTTCTCAGGGCCCAAAAACTTGCTGGCCCAGACCTGGAATTGGAATTCCCCACCACCGCGCCCTGGTGTGGCCTCAGAGGGAGGGCGTAGGGGACTGCCGCTATCTCGATGGTCATTCAGTCGAGTGATCGACCCTATTTGTTCGAGGAGGTCGGCCTGTTGGCTGCAAAATGGAGACAGCTGAGTGCATTCTTACCTGCTTTGAGTTTTCACCTTCCAGCTGTGATGTTGTAGTTCCCGAGTGAAACCTCCCATTCCACCCAGTGAATATCCTTTTCTTTGTTTCTGGACTCCTCGGCCTTTCTTTTCTTTGAGCTCTTTTCTCTCTTGATTCTCCGCGAAGCAAAATGTCCATTTTTTAACATAATTGCTAAGAAGAGGCGTTCCCAGAGTTCTGTTTCCCGGCTTTTCTTAGTTTGGAATATTCTCCAGGAGTCAGCTTTGCAAAGGGCAGTCACCTGTACAGAGCACATTTCTCGGGGCGGGGGTGGGAGGGAGGGCAGGTCCAGAACCGACTTCACATTTAAGTGATCTTCTCAATTGCACACTTTGGCTTTCTAATGCCCTTGGCCTTTTTTGAATTGTGCACATTTGGAAGTGCTTGTCTGATACTTGTCTGATATTTGGGGGGGGGGGGGAATTACTCTTCTATAACTTGGGTTCAGATTCTGCAAACTCTTTTGATTCTCATAGCTTAATCATAACAATAAGTCCAAGTGAAAGAAGTCTGGGAGATTAACAGGGAGGGTAATGTCTTTCCTGGGCCTTGAAAAATGAGAAAGATTTCGGAATGGTAAAGAAGAACCGTTCTGGGCGAGCGGCCCGCCCCGCTCAGAGCCTGACCACGTGGCGGATAGTAGGGGCTGCTTCAGGGCGTGTGTGCTGGCGGGAGAATAGAAGGATGACGGACAAGGCAATAGAGGAGTGGTGTGAAGACTGAGTATAGAGGGTGTTAGATGTCATGATTTGGTTAGTTTTCTCATCTATAAATTGATGCTAATAGTTGTAATTGCCTGATGAGTGTCTTAAATTTGAATAAGATCTATGTAAAGAGTTTAAAGTACCTGGCACATGGTAAGACTCAGCAATGTCATCCCATCATCATTGTTGTCATTTTTTGCCACCATTGTTCTGTAGGCATGAGAGAACATTATTTGCAGGGAGTAAGGTAGGCCACCCTGAAGTTTAAGACGTTACTCCAACAGCACTTCACGGGATGGATTAAAAAGGCATGAGGAGCCTGGCCCGAATGGTTCAGTGGTTGAGTACCAACCTATACACCAGGAAGTCACAGTTTGATTCCCGGTAAGGGCACAGGCCTGGGTTACAGGCTCGATCCCCAGTGTGAGACCTGCAGGAAGCAGCCCGTGGAGATAGAGTTTGCAGCAATGCAGCCATTTGAAAGTGTCATGGAGGCTCCACATGAGGATTTTTTGAACTTGGGAGAAAGCTCTGAGCCGGAGACGTTGATTGGGAGGTTGTCAGCACATAAGAGTCAACCCCACTTACTTGCCAGCCCAGACGCAGCTCTGCACTGGACGAGACCACCACCTGAGAGCCAGCAGGGGCAGGGCCTGGGCGAGGCTCTGCTCTGCGCCCGGCTGCTCTCAGCACCTGCCCAGGGCCTGTGTGGACCCTCAGCGATGAAAGGGCGGTCAGAGGGGGAGGACCTGGTGGAGCCGTCATCTGGAAGATGAGGAGGGGAGAAAAGAGCATGGGGGCGTGAGTGGGGCCTGAGACAAGGGCACTTGGCAGGAGATGGACTTTGGGGCCTCTGCACAGTCCCCCTCAGAGGCTCCTGATGAAGCATGAGGTCGTGTCACTTCCCCCAATGCACGCCGGCATGATGAGTAGCTTGGGTTCCCTTTGTCTAAATGTCTGTGACACATGCAGTGTGAGAAGTCTCCGTTCTTCCTCCTAGATGTTCTGATTGTGTTGGCGAGGCTGGGGTTCCAGGTACACTGCGTTACTGGGCGCTGACTAAATGTCACTGTCCCCGCCTCGGTCTCTGGCGGGACCTTTCCATTGGTTTGAGTCAGAATAAGACTGAGACGCTGGCCCTAACTAAATACAGTTGTCAGAATGATTTCCTGGCATCTCTCTCATAATGGGCTGTTTATCTGACTAATAAAGTTGTCTTACGATTTTATTAATTTAATGTGGAAAGTATTACAGATGTCCCCCTTTTTTCCCTATTGACCCCCTCCGCCCCATCCCCACCCCCACAGCGATTTTTATGTTAAGACATTTCCAGTTTTCCACCATCATTTCTTTTTTTTTAAGAACCTGAACTATAGCTAGCAAAGCCACATCTAAGAACATTGTAAACTTAAGTTGATCAGCAGAACTCCAGCACTGCACGTGTGGTCCCTTGTTAACCTCTCAGAGCCTCCGTTTCTCCATGGTGGGAATAACAGCTCCCAGAATTCGGGATTAGAGAAATGGTGGGGAGGTGAGCCCACAGCCTTCTCAGCAGAGGGAAGGAAGCTCTTAGACAACAGAGCCCTAAGCAGGTAGAGTCTGGTCCTTGAGGGGGAGCCGGTGGGTGTGACCTCACATTGTCTCAGACTCAGGGGATGTGGGATGCAGTTACTCTCTCTGTTTAGGTCTGGTAGGAATCCATCCCACTCAGGTTTCCAGAGGGGGCTATAGACCTTCTTTCTAGAACTTTCTAGAGCTGGGTTGGACCTTGGAATTCTTGGGACCCAGATCCAGGAGCTCCGAAGCCTCAGAATCTTGTCCTTTTGAGCTGATGCTGAGGCCAAGGCTCCTCACAGCCTCCTGGGACCCTTTGTTCAGCAGACACGCACGCTGGCCCGCTGCTGCCAGAGCGCTCTGCCCCGGCCATGACCCGAGTCAGGATCCCGCCTCTCCTCCCAGGCCTGTGGCTCTGACTCCTGCACAGCAGTGACGCCAGAGCGGAGAGCTTAAGACTGGGCACTGCCACACCCGACTTGCTCAGCAGGATGTTGTGGGGATTAAAGCGCCATGGCTTCTGTGGAGCTGTTCCCCTGGAGGAGTGCCCAGATGCAGGATCCTGTCATTGTGGCCCCGTCCTAACCTTTGGGTCTTAAGGCTTGTGTTTGTTTACTTGAGATGGGGTGAGAAGCCAGGTTCTCCCCCAGCGCCTGCAGGGACCCCTCCTCCGGGAAGCCTTCCGGAACGCTCGTTCTTGCTGGACAAAAGGCGCCTCCCGCAGGCTCCCGTGGCACCGTCTCCATGTGGCCCCCGCATTGTGGGTGGGCTGGCTCAGAGCTGTGGACTGGAGCAGGAGCCACACGTTATAGCACCTGAGCTCCTTGACCCTTGTCAATGTCATCTACATATTTCTCACAAAACCCTATACTCTGCCTTCACCTTCATAGAGGAAGAAACTGGGGCACAGGAACTGAGTCACTGGCCCAGAGTGTCCCAGCCAGGAGGCGAGCGCCGGGTCTTTCACTCCTGAGCCTGCGTTTGTGTCGTCGGCCATCGGGCTCCCCTTGAGAGGGCTTTTGGTCGATGCTTCTGACCCGGAAGTCAATCCCTTCGATGATCTGAGGCCCCTAGTCTGACACAGACCCCCCCTGGCTCTGTCCCCTCCGGGCTAGGGTGCCTGCTGCTCTGCAGCTCAGCAGTGCGGCTAATCCGGCAGACATTCTCCAATGCCCTCATCTCTGACCGAAAGGCTGATGTCATCAGGAAGTCCTCCACCTCACTCTCCACTTCCCTGTCCCCCACTTATTCACTGTCTGGCCGGCGGTGTGGGCACTCTGTTCTGCGGAGGGCGAGACCAGGGCAGAGGACGCTCGTGGTGGGAAAACACTGAGTGAGGGTCGCCCCACCGTCCGCCCAGCCCCCTGCTTTGAGTCGCATTCCCACGTCCCAGAAGTTGAGTGATGAAAGGGGCCTTTTCTGAAGTCAGGAAAGTGTCCATGTCCTTTACACAGGGCAGCTATTCACTCACTCCTCAGAGAAAGCATTCACGTGGCGGCGTCAGGGGGTTTGGATCGAGTGTAAGGCATGTCCAGGCACCCCGATCCCTACCCTCACCAAAGCCCAGTCACCAGACTGAGGCGAACCTGGGCCAGTTCCTTTCTATGTTCAGTGTTTAACACATGGATCCAGCCCCTTCCCCTGACCCTCCAGGGCCCCTTCCCCTGACCCTCCAGGCCCTTCCCTGACCCTCCAGGCCCTTCCCCTGACCCTCCAGGCCCTTCCCCTGACCCTCCAGGCCCCTTCCCCTGACCGCCCAGGCCCCTTCCCCTGACCCTCCAGGCCCCTTCCCCTGACCCTCCAGGCCCCTTCCCCTGACCGCCCAGGCCCCTTCCCCTGACCCTCCAGGCCCTTCCTCTGACCCTCCAGGCCTTTTCCCCTGACTGTCCAAGCCCCTTCCCCTGACCGGCCAGGCCTTTTCCCCTGACCGTCCAGGGCACCTTTTAGCATTTTTAAAACCTGCTGACAGCGCAGAGTTCGTCACAGTGACTGATGTCTCTGCTCTAAAGTTGCCTTGGCCCAGAGGCCAAGAGGGTGTCGTGCGGGGTGAACTGTGGGCTTCCCGCCGCTGGACAAATTAGAGCTCATGGTCAGCCGTGTCCCCCTCTGGGTTACGTCCTTTGTCTTGTTGTTGCTTTTATCTCCTTCTGTACTTGTTATCTTTGAGCTCATCCACCTGTGCTGTTTGAAGAGCTGTCTCGGGTCACTAGGCGGGTGTGTGTGGGCAGGAACCTATAATATATTTGTAATTCACACTTGGACGCCCAGGCCCTCGCCCAGGCCCAGCCACACGGAAGAGCCATTGCATGCATGAAAGTGTGCATGTGTGTTGATATATTAAGATGTACAGAGACCACCAGCTTTAAAATGTGCTAGAAGAACAGTGACCACAGAGCAAACGAGAATCATGGGAGGTCATGGAGGGCGTGCCTGCAGCAGAGGCGCAGCGGGTCACGGCAGGGGGCGGCGCGGACAGGATTCGGTCGGACTCGCAGTCTGGCTCCTGTGGCGAAGAAACCAAGTGACTTCATCCTGCCGCTGCCTTCAGAGGAGACCATCCACAGAGCCGTGAGCTCCCCAGCCCCCGCGAGATGAGTCATGCACCGATGCCCTCGCCACAGCTGAAGTCCCCATCGGCCCACTCAGTCTGCGTGGGAAGGCATTTCAGAGGGAACACACCTCCTGGACTCCTGAGCCTCCGGCCAGGTTTGCAGTTGTTCCCCTCGGAAATGAGGCACCACCCATCAGTGCCCATCGGCTCGGCCAAACTCCGAATGAAGCCTGTCCTAGGGGTCCTACTGGCAGCTCTGTCCGGGGGCTCCTCTCTGCTCCCCCCATCGGCGCCGCCCTCCCTCCTGGACCACTGCGGGCGCCCAGTGCCCCTGCATCCACTCAGCCTGAGTCCTCCACTCAGCAGCCAGAGCTGTTTTCTCTTGTCTCCCAAAGCAGAGCCCTTCTTGTTCAAACCCTCCACTGCTTCTCTTCATGTTTAGAAGCCAAACCAGCTCAGCCTCTGCCCTCCTACTGAGCTTGCTCTTCCTCCTGGGCCCCTCCACCTGCTGCTGCTCCCGCCCGGGCCACATGGCATCCGCTCTGGACGAGACCCTCGAGGCTAGGCTGACCCCCGCAGGACAGCCTCGCCCACCCTCCCCCTGCCTTGACCGCTTCCTTGCCTTCATAGCCCTTAACGCAAACTGAGCTTCCGTCTGCCTCTAGGCGGTGACTTTGTGACCACCTGTGTCCCCCATTGGAAAGCAGGAGCTGGGTAGTGGGCACTGGATGGGTGTAGCCTGTGCCCCCAGCACGGGGCGGGGCGGGGCTGGCACAGGTGGGCATCCGTTCACACTCTAATGCGTGCCCATCACACCTGATTCTTAAAACATGCTTCTTTGGGGTAAAGCGCCCTCGTTGAAGAGCGTATGTGGGAGAGAAGTTCAGGCAGAAGGCGTTCAGTGGCCTGACCTCATTTTCTAATCTTTCCCAGTTGCCCTCAAATTGGCTGTAGCTACACGGATGTGAAGATGTGTGATCTGGTCCAGGACGAAGCACTGAGAAGGGCGATTGAGAGCCACAACAAGAGAAGACACCGGCACTCCGAGTAGGAAAAGCCACCTGCCCACAGCCATGCCCGCAGCCACGCCCGCAGCCTACCTCCTGCCCAGCCACCTGTAGAGAGCGCGCTGGCCACAGCGCTTCGACTGGCTGCATCGCACGCTTCGTTCGGGGTAAAATCGAAGGTTTTAAATGGGATTGAAATCATTTTTCTATATTACAATGAAAAGTCAGGGAAACTATATTGTTTATTTTTAAGTATTTTATAATTTGAATAAAACTTTGATAATCTGCAGCTTGTCCTGTCTGTGCTCCGCCCGAGGGTTAAGCTGTTGTGATGGTGCAGGCTGGGGGTGCCAAGCCCTTCTCTCTCTCCTGCCTCACACTGTCTGTTTTGTCGTTTGAGCTCAGGGATGCCTGAAAGGGACATTGGAAATGTAAACCCATCAAAACACCCCGTCGCCAGCATTTCCCATCAGGACAGTAAGGAAAGCGTGAGGTGACAGAGCAAAGCATGATGCTTCGTAACGGGCTCGTCGGTGCCGTGGTGACTGTTGTCGCCACAGTGTCACCCATGGGAAGCCACCACATCCTGTCCGTCGTTTTCTGTGGATCCAACCCCGGGGCCTTGGGGTCTTCGGCCATGAGCTAAAGGCATTGAACCAGTTATTTATTCTCTGATGCCCCTTTAGCCCCAAAATCATTGAACTTATGACTTCAGGGTCTTAAGATTGAGTATCATTGATTATTTTCTCATTGTGTGAAGAATGCTGCTCTATTAATAGTCTCCATATCAACCTCTTACCAACCAGAATAGTCAGTGAAGTCAAACACATATCCTGACTACCCTAGGATACCAAGAATAGCGCACAATGGCTAACGTTTATTGAGTGCTTACTGTGTACCACGCTCTATTCCAAGTCACATTTACAGTAACTCCCATCATCACCTGATGAAGGCGCTACGGTTATTATTCCCATTTTCCAGATAAGTAAAATGAGCCTCAGAAGTGGGTAACCCATGGGAATTCCCGGAGCTAGTAAGTGGCTGAGCTGGGATGGGCAGTTAGGTTGTCAGGTCTCAGAGTCTGCATGCTTAGCCCCACGTTCTTCTCCCGATTAATTCCTGTAGAATCTCAATATACATTCCAAGCACACATTGAAAACTGAGCGTCTTTAAAATAAACAAGCATGTACGTGTGTGTGTGTGTGTGTGTGTGTGTGTGTGTGTGTGTGTGTATACAAAAAAATTTTCATTAAAATGCAGGGAATAGCCGGATTGGACCTCAAAGAGCCAGTGATGGCTCTGAAATAACATGCATCTCCATCGAAAAGCCTAGTCTAAAAATGGCAGAAAAAACTTTGAAAACGTTTTCATGGAATTCAGAAAGCGCTGTGGCATTCAGTTGCTACAAACTGAGTGACTTTGGATTTCTTAAGATGCTTTATCTGAATCCAACTTCCTGAGGAAACTATTATGTTTAAGCCAGAACAAACATGCTGCCCGTGGAATGTGGTTCTTTGTGAAATACTTTATTTCTTAAACAGATCAAGGCCGGCATGAAGCGCTCGCCCGAGGTTCAAGCTGCATTTCCCCCAGCTCTGTCCAAAGAGGAGGCAAGCTGTCAGTGTGGATGTCAGTCTCTGTCAGAAAAATGCGAAACGGCACCATCCTGCTGGGAAAGGGGTAATGCCTGCATCCTCGGGCTGCTTCCTTTCCGGCTTCAGAAGCCATGTTTCACACATTTTTCCAGCCAATTTAAGGATTGGAAGTTTTAGACAATTTTTTTTTTTTTTTTTTTTTTTTTGCATCTTTGAAGAAGCAAACATTAGGTTGTCATTGTCACGCTGGCATATGTGTTCAATTTCTATTTCAGGAGTTTTCCCAGGAAGTGAAACCTTTTCTTCACATGAAATCATCTTTACCTTATTCCTGAGAAACTCAGTCATGTAAGACAGCTGAAAGGGGAGTTCTTCTAGCCACGGCGAGGTGGGGCTCCAGCCCCTTCCTCCCGGGGCAGCCCCGGAGCCTCGCCTGAGATTACCCAAGGCCCCGTGAGTGACATTTGAAAACCACACTACACATTGGAGCTAAACCAGCTGTTCAGATATGACTGATTTAAGACTTGGACAATTGTGTGAACATGGCATTTTTTTATGTGTTAGTTCCTTTAAGAAACTTCCAGTTGGGTAAGTTTAAAACATTACCACAAACTCCAAAAGATGAGATAATTTATTTCTGTCCTGATACAGAACTTTGACCACGGGCTGTCCAGCTTGAATCAGCTCTGTTCGGTGAGGGCTGCATCCGGGTGTTTTAGGGGAAGAGAGAAATTACAGGACTAAGGGAACCAATCGCTGGCTACACACCAGATGCAGGTCCAGGTGCCTAGATGCGTCACCTAAGTGAATCCTTTCTGATACCCTAGAAGGTACCCTGTTTCCCCGAAAATAAGACATCCTCTGAAAATAAGACCTACTTACAGGTTTCCTTTTGAGTGAAATATAAGGCATCCCCCCGAAAATAAGGCCCCCCTAGGCTAAACTTGAGAGATTTGGTCCACTGATTCTGAAAGAAATGGAGTCACAAGAAATTCACCAGGAAATTCAGGAAATGGATTGTTATGTTGATGTTCCAGAAGATGATGACATGATTGTCATTGAATAAATGAGTAAATTCTTTATACTATAGGATTCACAGTTTGTCTGGTTTGTGTTGACAACTACCGTACTACCGTACCGTATACAGGTAATAAATTTCCTTTATTTTCATTTAACAATAAATGTGTATCGTATTCTTCTTCATGGAAAAATAAGACATCCCCTGAAAATAAGACTTAGCGCATCTTTGGGAGCAAAAATTAATATAAGACACTGTCTTATTTTCAGGGAAAAAGGGTATGGTTGTTAGCCCATTTTACAGATGCAGAAACCAAGGCTCAGAGTCATCCTAGTCACTTGCCTAAGGTCCCTTGCTGATGTGTGGTGGAGCCCATAGTGGGTCAGTTCAGTGAGTACAGAGCAAGTGATCTGATCCACCAGGCCCTGAGAGAACACTGGTGACCAACCGACCTGCTCTTCTGCCCCATCTCCCTTATTTCCGTTATGGAGACCATTTCCCAGGCTCGCAGGCCGCAGTCAACTGTCCAGTTAGCACAGCCCAGTGCTTTTCTTCGCAGTTCCCTCTGCAAACACCCCCCAAGTCCAGGCCTGCTCCCTGCCTTCGTACTTAGACTATTTGGCCGCCTTTCAGCTGGTCCCCGACCTCTAGTCTTCCTCCTCCCTTTTTACTTGATAGATTGCTGATGGGTCGTTCCACATCCTCCTCAGAAACCTTCCTTTCGACGGGATGCAGTTTAGACACAGCACTTGGGGTTCTGCCCCAAACCAGCACTCACTCTGCCCCCACACTGCAGTTCACGTAGGCCAGTGGTCGGCAAACTCATTAGTCAACAGAGTGACAAATCGAGGCTTGCCAGCCTCAGTTTGCCGACCACAGACCTAGGCTATTTGACAGGACGGGTGTTAATCCTCAGTACTTCTGACTAGCACCTGAAGATGACCGTGGGCAGGTCACTTCACTGCTCCAGGCCTCAGGCTTTTCCTATAAACATAAAGATTTGGACTTCTCCCCAAGGTTTCTCTAAACCCTGATTCCCAGGCCACATCACCAAGGAATAGGACCTTGGGGAAGTAGGTATATGGCCCTTTGGAAGGAAAGCAGGCTGACATGCAAATCAGTATGTATGCGAACCAAACGTGGTTCTTCAACAAATACTTTTTAAGGCCCACTTTCTGCCATGTTTTATACTAATTTCTTTGGATACAGAAATCTCCCCTCTGAAGGGATTCTTGTCTAGTTGGGGCAGACAGATACGTAAAAAAATAAACTCCACAAAAGGTCATATGAGTGCCATGTACAGAGAGAGGACAGTAACACATAGAAAAGAAATGCAGAAAAATTATTGAGTAAACAAATTGTGTTTCAGTAAATCAGGTAAAAGGAATCAAAACTAGTTAAAACATCTGATTGGCAGATGTGGGTAAATGGTGAAGGTGGATTATCCAGCTGTATTGGAAATTTGTTACATTTTGGAAATCTGCCTTTTGGCTTTTACCAAACTTTGTGGATGGGTAACTATTCTGAAAAGAAGCCCATTAAAATGGAAAGGGAGCAGGAACTCTATGCATTGCTTATGGAAATGCAAATCCATGCAGCCACTTGGAAAAGGTTAGCTTAAAAAAAAAAAAAAAATTAACCAATTTACCACACAACCCAGCAATTCCATTCCTTGGAGTGAAAACCAATGTTCATACGAAGACTTGTGTATGAATGTTCTTTCAAAAATATATTTATATTGATTTCAGAAAGGAAGGGAAGAGGAGAGAGAGATAGAAACATCAATGATTAGAGAGAATCATTGATTGGCTGCCTCCTGCACACTCCCTCTCCCCCCCCACTGGGGATGGAGCCTGCAACCAAGACAGGTGCCCTCACCAGGAATTGAACTATAGTCTCCTGGTTCATAGGTCAAGACTCAACCACCGAGTCATGCAGGCCAGGCTGAGTGTTATTAAGTAGCGTCCTACCTAATAATAGAGTAATATGCAAATTACCCTTCACCTTGCTACACCACCAACCACACTCACCAGCCAAACAGAGCACATATGCAAATTAACCTAACAAAGATGGTAGTTAATTTGCATACACAGGAGGGAGGAGTGAAGACTGAAGACAGCATAGAAAGAAGAGGGAGGGAAAGTGGAAAGCAAGGCGGCTGCGGCTGCTGGAGGGAAAGCACTGGTAGCGCGTGAGGGGTGGGTGGAGGTGAGCAGCGCGCTAGGCCGTGGAGGCAGCGACCAGTCAGGCGTGTGGGGTGAGGCTCGCAGCCACGGAGACGGTGGTGGCGGTCGTGGAGACAGGGTGCGCAGGAGGCAGCCAATCAATTATTCTCTCTAATCATTGATGTTTCTATCCCTCCTCCCCTTTCTTTTCTGAAATCAATACAAATATATTTCTAAAAGAACATTCATGCCCACCTCAGCAGGAG